GAAATAGCCATACAGGTGAGCTTGTTATTAAAGCTTGTTCAAATCAATGGACGACTGATGAACACTGTTCTTAGAGTTGCTGCGTAGAATGTTCTTCTCGAAGATGATTAAATTCTTTTCCTGAGGATATCACAGGTCAAGTTTGTTTGTCTGTCTAACTCCTTATAACTCTTCTTCTATTTCTTTGGAACTCTTACACAATCCCACTTAACTCTAATACACTTATCCAACTCCTTTTATGCATTGACCAGCAATGACAACTAAACTATAGTTATGACAACGTGTCACTTTTGTTACTCCCATCTTCCGTCATAAGAAATTGTTTGTGAATGTGATAGTACAGCGTAAGAGGAAAATGGATCCGCCAAAACGAGACTCTTCACTGAGCTGAATGTTTTTTTGTTTTGACTAATGTCTGAATGGCGATTATTCACAGATTGATGAGCAGCAAATGACATTCTTCATTCACACAAGAGCTTATAATTCTGCTGACTTAGTGTATCTTTGGGAAGTCTCGGCAGTGAATTCGAATTTCATTGAAAATATTATCACTGATTGAAACTCATTATTATTATTTATTATTATTTCCTTTAGTTCCTAGAGGAACATAGGGCTTCAGCCATGCGTCTCCACTGCGTTCGGTTCTCTGCTAGAGTTTTCAACTGGCTCCAGGTCTGCCCACACGATTTCATCTCCTCTTCACATGATCTCCTCCAGGTCACCCTTGGACGACCAACTCGTCGCTTCCCTTTCGGGTTCCACTCGAGGCCTTGTCTAGTGATGTCACTTGCTGGTTTCCTCAGAGTGTGGCCATTCCATCTCCATTTCTTCCTGCCTATTTGTTTCACAATCGGTTCCTGGTTGGTTCGCTCCCAGAGATCTTTGTTGCTGATCCTTTCCGGCCATCTGATCTTGAGTATTGAGCGAAGACATCTGTTGATGAAGGTCTGTAGCTTGTTTGAGATGCTCTTTATGACGCGCAGTGCAAGTCTCTGATCCGTATAGTAGTACTGACTTCACATTGGAGTTGAAAATCCCGATTTTATTTTTGACGCTGAATGATGTTGACCTCCACACAGACTTGAGAGTAATGAAAGCTTGCCTTGCTTTCCCGATCCTTGCTTTGATATCCTCGTCAGTTCCGCCTGTAGTTGAAACAATGCTTCCCAAGTAGGTAAAGGAGGAAGTTTCTTTCAGGTTCTTTCCATTTATGCTGATTGCTGTCTGTTGTTGTTGTTGTTGGCCAGGAATCTTCATCACCTCCGTTTTCTCTATGTTCACCTGGAGTCCTATCTTTGATGCTTCTTCTGCCAACTTGTTACTTTTCACTTGCATATCTTCCAGTTTGTGGGAAATCAGGCATATATCATCGGCGAAGTCCAGATTCTCCAAGTTCTTTGTGTGAGTCCATTTTATGCCTGTTTCCTCATTGCCCGCTGTTTGTCGCATTATCCAGTCTACTGCAATCAGGAAAATCATTGGCCATAGTAGGCAACCCTGTCTTACTCCTGTTTTCACTTCGAAGGATTCCGTGAGCTTCCCATTGTGGATTACTTGGCATGCAGCGTTGTCGTACAGCTGTTGGATGAGATGTATAATTGTCGGTGGCACCCCGTAGTAGCGAAGTAGTTGCCAAATCACCTCTCGATCGACGCTGTCGAAGGCCTTTTCAAAGTCGATGAAGTTGAGATAGAGAGGTGACTGCCATTCCAAACTTTGTTCAATGATGATCCGTAGTGTGGCGATTTGATCAATACATGACTTGTTTCTCCTGAATCCAGCTTGTTCTGGTCGAAGTTTTTCATCCAGGGCTTGTTTGATCCTTTCCTTTCTTCTGCAGTCCGCGCTCACCAGGATTCGAACCCAGGACCTTATGGTTACAAGGCGAGCTCGTAGACCATTGAGCCACTGGGACACGATTGAAACTCAGGTATCTGTTTTTAGACGTAAAAAGAAAAGCACATCTTGAATTCTTCTGCTTGCCATTGTAAAGCGAAAAATATCACCGAGACAAGGTGGAAAACAGTCTCGAGTTATCTATTGGAAGAGTTCATTTTCTAAAATACACTAATTAATTATATCCGATGAAAACAAATCGCCTATACTTCATTACTCACCAGTATAAATTCTTTGTTGTTGAGAAAACAGACTGTTCATGATGGCCACACTAAAGACAAATGTTGTACATGCTGCTGCTGCTGGATTCAACATAGAACTTGCCACCGAAGTGCAGCAGTTCGAGTTGCCACGTTCCAAATACCACACAAAGGTAGACAAGAAGATGAGTGAAGAGAATCAATAGAGTTTTGACAAGTATAAGTGTGAAACGGAATGAGTAATGGTAGGAAGGAGTATGAAGGTTAAAGAGACTGAATACATCTGAGTAAGCCATTGACAACGATTTTGAGCCATGTCACCTATTGTCTCCAGCCACTGATTCTTAGGGTCCCGGGGGCCCCAACTCGGAAGTCTGCATCTCCCTACCTGACTCAGTTTAACTGTCAGGGATTTCATGGATTGATGAGGCCATGTTTTTGTTTGGCCACCACTTACTCTTTTCCAACCTGCACCTATATCAGCTAGTAATGCCCGTCCGTCGAGGGAGGCGATGGTTAGGCATACGCAGCACGTGACCTAACCATCTCAATCTATGTAACTTTATAGCCTCGTCGAGTGATTTTCCCTCTCTGCCCAACACTTTACGCCTAACGTCGACATTACTTACCTTATTATACCACCTAACGCGAGAGAGAGATCGTAAACATCTGTGGTCAAAAACAGACAATCTCTTTATGTCTTCCGCTCTCAATGACCACGTCTCACCGCCATAGAGAAGGACAGAGCGAACTGCTGAGCAGTATACACGTCCCTTGGTTGATAGCCGAATGTCACGCCTACGCCAAAGACGGTGTAAGTTAGCGAAAGCAGCCTGAGCTTTCTTGATCCGTGCTGTGATTTCGTCACCAATCAATCCGTTGGTGCTGATACAACTTCCCAAATAGGTGAAGTGCTCAACATGTTCTATCAATTCACTCCCTATCACTAAGCTAGGAGTTGACGTAGTTCAGTCATGTAGCAGCATCTTACATTTCACAGGGGCGAATTGCATGCCAAACATACGAAGATTGCTGCTCAAGGTGTTCAGAAGACTCTGCATTTTGTCAGCGTCCTCTCCTAACAGGACTATATCGTCTGCGTATTCTAAGTGTATAAGACTATTCCCTGATAGCAAGTCGATTCCTAAGTCATTAAGTTCAGTTAAGGATACTTCCATTAGCATATCTATGATGAAGTTAAACAGAAAAGGGGAAAGTGGATTTCCTTGGCGGACACCACTGGTTGTTATCAATTCAGATGACAATTCCCCATAAGCCCTTACACAGCTACGTGAGTTTGAGTAGGGTGCCTTGATTAGTGCAATGTACTTTCTTGGCACTCCCTTCACAGTCAAACATTGCTATAGTACCTCTTGATCCACGGAGTCGAAGGCCGCCTTCAAGTCAAGAAATATGGCAATTGTTGGACCCCTAAAAGTGTGTCTATGTTCTAGGATCTGTTGGAGAGTGAAGATATGATCTATGCACCCTCTACCTGGCCTAAAGCCCGCTTGATTTTCCCTCGTTTGTTCCTCCCGAGTTCGGCTTAGTCTGTTCATGATTACTGAGCCTAGCATTTTAGAGACTATGTTCGTTAAGCTGATTCCCCTATGATTATCACATGACGACTTGTCTCCCTTCTTGAAAATCGGTATAATAAGTGACTTACCCCAGTCTGATGGAACCGTCTCTGATTCCCAGACGTTACCTAGCACTTTAGTTAAACTATATACTAGTATGTCACCCCCATATTTAAACACCTCCGGAATAATTCCGTCGGGTCCTGCCGCTTTGCCTCGTTTCAAATTACAGATAGCTTTGGTGACCTCACTTACAGACGGCGGGCCAGTGTCTATGTCCCATTCGGGTGTGTGTTGGATGGCGGGGAGGCTCAGTGTGGCTGTAGGCAAGTTAAATTGTTCCTCAAAGTGTTCTTCCCAGCGTTCGAGGCGTCTATCCTGAGAACTAATTAAGGAGCCATTTTTCTCACCAATAGTCTCACTTATGATTTGCCTTCTTCCACCTGTTTCCCTGATGAATCTAAAGAGTTGCCTAGTGTTGCCTATCGCCGATGCTTTTTCCATCTCTTTCGCCTTTGTCAACCACCACTGTTCACGGTCCTTGCGGAGACTTTTCGTAAGTTTCCAAATGAAAAACAACAAACAAAATGTTGTACATACTCCTTGTGGGTGCATCACGTTGTCTGCACACATTGCTCCCCACCTTCAAAGATTCTGCTGATGAATCTTGAATTCAAAATTGATACTGAGGCTGAGATTCTTCGAAGACAGCTTGCAATATCTCTTAGTAAAACATACTTTACTGCCAGCCTACGAATAACATTCTCACTGCAGGTAACTATTTGGCCATCACATGTAAGACAAATTGTCGCATAGGGCCACATCAGCATGCATATATAAGTTCATTAGCTCCTGTGACACTAACTACATTGATTTTACTAAATTTCTGCCTGAAAATCTCAGCTTGCAAAAGGAGAACGGAAGTGTATCTCCACTTTGATAACCAGACTCTTCGTAATTTCAGGACACTCAGCTCCATTTGAGAAATACCCCCAAGTTACCATCTAACCTCTAGTAAGGAATGAAATCAATATGTCCGGGCATAGATGTGGCATCAGAGATCAGAAATTTCAAGCCAACACTACGCATCCAAAAGAAGTACACCAAATCTTCGTCTCCGCCATGGCCATCATAAACAGCGCAGCCTAGCTGACGACCACTCCGAAAAGAAACATGTTTTCTTCTCTCTAACCGTCGGTTGCTTTTCCCATATTCTGACGGATATATTTTGCAGTATATAAATTCACCTGTCCAATATTTCCTCATTCAAATTTCTCTATTGAGTTGTTGTTTTTGTTTTCTCTTTTCTGTCAACCTTCATCAGACCACTTCCAACTGACCAATCAGATGTATCACCCTGTTGGCCAACTGCATTAATAGGATGTAAATTCGATCGAAATTCTAATCTAACAAACGATTACTACCATTGGAAAACATCATCTCAGAATAAACTAGCAGCAGTTTATATCGCAAATCAAAACTACCCACATAACAAGGTCGCACCAGATGATCAAGAAATAATTCAAACAAATCGAACAATTCAGCTTATTTGTCAAGATATTGAAACATTGAATCAGTCTGATTGTGCACACATTGTCTGCGAACGTACACGTAAGTGGAGGGTGTTTTTATTGAGTTCATAAGTACATCACTGCATTCTGTTGAGATTATTTGACTGATACTGACTGACTGACAGTGGAAACTGAAGTGTGCGTCTCATCTTGTGTGGGACTTATCAGCTGGATATACCGCCATCGCAGTGAGTAGATGACGTTGTCCCTACTGAGTAGAACCTAGCACCCATCGTTCCAAACATTGAAGCGTTGTTCACTGAGACACTGGATGACGAAAGTCACCATCTCTTATGCAATAGGTACCGGGAGTTATTTGTTTAACATCACGTCTATCGCATGGTATCATCGTAATCGTCCGTACGAGAAGCCAATATGTCAGAAGAGACCCAGCATTCGATCCAATAAAGATTCTTTAACAGGAGATATAAATTAATTTAAACATATACGAGCCATTTGTAGACCATTGTGAGTTGATAACACTTGATAAGTATCTCCAATAATTTGAGAAAATGGTGAATATATCACACGAAGACGAAGGAATGATGACAGAAAAGACGAAGGATACGCCCATCAGCCATCAAGTTGTACACACATTAATACATGGAAAACGACTGATACTTTTGTTCTCAGTCATAATGAAATATGGATATATATATATACATATATATGTGTATATTTCCATAAATGGTTCCTCACCGTTCATCCTTTCCAGCTGGTCTTTGCTATCTAGCATAGTGGACAGCTGTTGATGGAATTGAGTAGAACCGACTATTTACCGTGAATAGGACTGTTTAATAGAGTTAAGATTCGGTGTAAGGAAATTGAATCGATGACAGTGTCGACTAACGCGAAAAGACTCATAGTTACCTCCGTCAGTAAGAATTATTCATCTTTCATATCATATATACGGTAATTTGACAAATTACACCAGTTACGGGACATCATTTTTGTATCATTCCACCTGTGTATTTCGGTACAACACGCATGCACTCAATTCATAGATCATGAAAGCTTGAATGAATGCATCGTGTTGAACATAGAATTAAATTTCCTTTTTGTACTATTTCTCAATAGAAGTAAGTGGGTTAAATGCTGTGATTTGAATGTGTGTAGGGTTTTCAGAGAAAACTGTGTAATTTGTAAGGTGAAATGACAACTCATATTCTGTGTATTGCCAGTTCCCCGACAGGCAACTATCCACAATTTAGTTGGCGTAAGTAATTCGACCTTCTCAATTAATCACAAATGGGTATCCCTCTGGTGAGATAGATAAAAAAGCAATAGGAATAGCTATTCGGAGTTTGGATCACCTTGATTGGACTGGCGAGCGACTTTGGTTGATGTGAGTTCTCTCCAATTAGTCATATTAATCAGTTGAACATTTCATGTTAACCACTTCAAACCGTTGAATAATGGACTTTGGTGAAGGTGTAAACACAAGACTCTTTTCATCAGTGTCCTCCACGTTACCAGTGGAACTTAGATCTTCAAGCTTTGAAGTCTGAGGAGTAGTGGAGGTGCATTTTCCCGCCTAAATCTACTGGCTATGAAACTAGGTGAGGTTCAGAAGTGTATTCGTCGGCCAGCAGTCTCACCTGGACCTCCTTCGTGACTGGTGAGAATGCTACATTTTAATCACTGACGCCTTATAAACACACGATAAACAAAGCGAAATTGAACACAGATCGAAGGTGATATAAGTAATTGTAAAATGCTCATGTCAACTAGTGACGCTTGTTAACCAGATCGAATTGATGCAAACATAGAACACTTTCATTGGACACTAGATAGTAACCAGTGATATGCGTCTACTCCTTTGTTTGGTGCAGACTGAATCCTATCAGTCGCCATCACGGTGTACTGCACTGTGAATTGTTGATATTGGATGATTGGAGGCAATCGGCAAGAAGCCCTGCCTGACTTACGTTTCGTGTTAGTCGGCACTCACCAGTCTGCAAGGCGCAGCTGCAACCTTGAAGGAACTAATGTAGCATCCGAGTATTGCACTAGTTACTTACTAGTTTCAAATTAAAGTATCCAATGCAGTCCTACAGGAGATTAATTGCTATCGTGTATAGCTCAGTGGTGACATCTCTGACTGCAGGCTGCACTGAGTGAAGTGGGTTCAAATTTCAGAAGGGACATGAGTTCCTTTCTTCAAGGTTGCAGATACCCCCTGCTGACTGGTGAGTGCCAACTAGCACGAAATCTAGGTCGAGCAAGGCTTCCTGCCGATTTACTCCAACCATCTAATATCAACCAACAGAAAACACCTTATCACCCGTCCACTGTAATAAACAGAGCAGAGGCCGTCAAACACTATTTGAATTTTCTAAGGTAATTGTTCTTGCGTTATTTGGATTATGTGCTTAGAGGAATGATGTAATCATACTAGACGTGATGTCTCTCTTCACAACTGTTTTATCGATTTTTCATGCATCAACAATACATCTCTTGTGACATTTGCTTAACTCTGCGTAGAAAGACTATTGCGATTACTCTTATACCCATCCTATTTATTTCAATTTCAAAAACATTTATATTCACCATTTAACTTTCACCTCATTTCAAAAAACAAAATTTGCAATTAGGTGAAGCACAATGGACAACTGTAGTGTTCGCTTTAATCCTCCGCTGCCTGATGAATTCAATGCATGCACCAATTTCAAATCTACTGGATTCAGCGACTTATTCAATCCTTGGAACAAGTAAAGCTCAATATTATGGAAAGTCTAGAGCATTCGGTTCATTCGGTTTTATGATTGGTTCCTTGTTAACTGGTTTTGTTGTCCATCACTATACTACATCAAGCAGCCATTTTCATATGAATAAAATGTCGTCTACAAGACTATTATACTCTACGACTACAACTCCTACTGCTACGAGTAATTCAGGAGATATTCGTCCAGTGAATCCTAATTATACACCAGCACTTGTCATTGCCACAGTATGCCAAGTGATCGGGATCATTGCATCAGCTTTCTGTAATTACAGTTATACAAAACCAGTTGAAAAACACTTTACAAGTGCTCTGACCACAGCGATACGTTCACCGAGAATGATACAATGCCTAATGGTTGCCTTCATGTCCGGTTTAATTATCTCATTTATTGGAGAGTATAATTATTTAATACTAACTACTATCTACCATGTACCGCATTATTTTCTTGGCCTATTGACAACGACATCGATTGTTGTCGAGATCCCGACGCTGTTGTTTATTTCAGGTCCACTAGTGAAACGCTTCGGTAGTATCCCGTGTCAGATAATCTCACAGATTATGTTGACTATCCGATTTCTATGCTATGCATTCTCCAGTAATTATTGGTATTTTCTTATTGGTGAAATTGCCTATGGCATCTACTTCCCTGTATTAATGAATGCTTTATTATCACAAACGGAACAAGTGAGTTTAGAGACAAAAATCAATAAGAATCATGATATTCTAACAAGTTTACAAGCAATTCTAACAAGTACAATGTATGGGATAAGTAATAGTTTAGGTGGACTGTTATGGGGTTTATTATTACAATACTTTGAAGCCACTTCATTGTTTTATGCAGCATTCACGTATACATCGATTTGTGCCTTGTTTTTCCCGCTTGTAGCGTATTGTTTAAAAATAGTGAAGTGTTAAATGTTTCAATAGATGAAGCTCTCTCTCTCTGTACTTTTGAATTGTCTTTCCTCCTTGTTTGTTTTGTTCCATTCAGTATTTTTCTTATTTTTTGCCTTTGGAATCAACCGAGTGTAATACTGTAGTCATTGTATGGTTTTAGTGTGAGAAATATTTCAGGAATAAGAGTGAGGAAGAGTAATTTGCGTGTGAAGTTTCTGATTGTATTTAGCGGATTTTTTGTTTCAAGTGCATTCCAGTGTATTATGTCAAATAATTTATTGCTGAAATTATATAAGTGCCTAATTAGAAAGGATGGAGGAGAGTTGCAGCTCAAGTCCATGATATTCGTGTAGTTGTTTTATGTCCTCCCAGTTGGATAGTTTAACTGAGATTTCATTGTGTCTACATCAGCGCCAACTTCAATATGAAGTAAGATTTTAGACTTCTTCTGTCCAACTGGTTGGAGGATTTCATCATGAGCTGAGATCAGTTAGAGAACCATTGGAAATTCAGCTGGGAGTACTGGACAGCTGTTTCATCCTAGTTTGGGACTCTTCTGCAGTATACACCCGCTGACAGGGTTCGGATCCAGAACCTTCTGGTTACAAGGTGAGCTAGCTCGTAGACCATTTAGCCACTGGGACCTGGTCGATCCAATGGCCAGCCTATGAATTCTAACCTCTGGCAATTCACGACATAGAGCGACCACTTCGCAATGTCTTCAATGAGTAACTGTCCTCACCTTCAACCTTCTGTACCTTACTGGTCACGGCTTCCGACTAGAATCCCATGTAACTGACTGAATAGGGCCAGTGGCTTATTGGTCTACCAGCTCGCTCACCTTGTAACCAGAAGGTCCTTGGTTCGAACCCTGTCGGTGGGTGCGTACTGATGAAGAGTCCCAAACTAGGCTGACGAAACAGCTGTCCAGTACTTCCTGGAGGTTTTCCAATGGTCCTTTGACTGATGTCAGCTCATGATGAAATTTTCCAACCAATCAAAGAGAATCCCTACCAAACCAATACTTGATACTTCTTCTGTCTGTCAAAATGTGTGATGTGTTCATTCCCTCATATCAAGCCAGACAGACAACTACGGTACTAATTCGACAGTGAAAATGTACCAACCGTAGACACTGGAAATACTAAAATGGTAAAGGATTCCCTCACAAGGCTGATACTCAGACGAATCTGAAATCAGGAGACAGGCTGACATAGATCAGGTTTATCATACACTAAATATAAATGTTCCATGGACTAAAAGTCAAATATCAGGTCGATAAAACAATCAACAGCTTCTTATATGCTAAGCAGGGTTTAGGAGTACGTCGAATGCGGATCGAGCTCGAACCATCTGCATAGCTGGCTGCTACGCTTGCAATGACCCACCATGGCACCTGCAATTACAGTATCTTTGCAGCAATGCTAAGAGTAGTGTTCTGCAATCGCTTAGTCTGTCCTTGCTAAAGTGTGATGATCCCAGTTCATACTCTGATCCTACTTATCTTTCGTTTTTTTATTCAGTCTGTATATCCTCACCTTATTATGTCGGTTGTTACTCATGACTGGCCCTATCCAGAGAATTACCTGTAGTTCTAGTCAGGAGTCATAACCAATTAGGTCTATTAAGTCAGGTATAGAACTGTCTCGCTTACGACGTTGGCTCGTGGATGAAAATTGGCAGCAGTTGGAATTTAGGGGCCACTGAGTCTGGTCCAAGTATCTGAAAGGTCTATGACATCGCCTTGGAACCGCAAGGTCCTGGGTCCCGATCCCGGCGGATGCCTACTGATGAAGAACCCTAAACTAGGACAAAATATCCGTCCAGTACTCCCTGATTTTCAAGTGTCTCTCTAGTTGTTGTCAACTCGTGACGAAACCTATTCTATATATGTCACTGTTTGCTTTACCACTTGATACACAATTATGACTGTAATCACAAACATTTTTTATTGTTTGGGGGATTTCGTCATGAGCTGACATCAGTTAGAGAACGATTGGAAAACCTGCAGGGAGTGCTGGACAGGTGTTTCGACCTAGTATGTGACTCTTCAGCAGTGCGCACTCACTGCCAAGGTTCAAACGCAGGATCTTCTGGTTAGAAGGCGAGCGAGCTCATAGACCATTAAGCTACTGGGACCCGACTGATCCAATGGTCAGCCCATGAATTGTAACTTCTGCCAATTCACACACACACACAACATAGCGCGACCACTTCGCAATGTCTTCTTCGATGAGTTACTGCCTTACCTTCAACCTCCCTACAAAAAACCAATACTTGAAAAATTTTTTATTGCATTTCATACCATAATATTATTCCGAAATTTCACACCGTTATTTCAATTTTCTCACGTGATGCAATTTCTTTTTAAGCCATACATATTCATATACAACTGTACAGCTTGATAATAAATTCGTTGAAAAAGAATCTCTTGGTTGAATCAATTGTTTTAATTTTCAATGTTTCAGCGGGAATTTTCAACGGAATGTTCCTACTGACACCTAAAACCAGCACCTATTGCATCAAACATTGAAGTTTTATCTAAGCATAGTTTACAATATTCTGATTTGTCATGTGTCTAATTCTTAGAATTGATGTTGACCGAATTCTGTCAGTCAAGTTTGCAATTTGGCTAGCAAGGCGTGGGACTCACACCCTCGCAGTACACTTATACATAATGGTAAATGCTTTGAGGTAGTCGCGAGGAAGCTCTGAGTCTAGATATCGTACTTGTTGGCACTTGTCAGCAAGAGGTATCGGAAACCTTGATGAAGTGTGATAACAACCACAAAACCTAGCGCCATAACTTCCTGCCGATCACAATCCTTCCCCTCTAACTACGCAATACTAAGGCTCAGATTTCCACCACTCAATGAAACAATGTTAGCGGTCAAATGACACTGTAATATGATATTTAACAAGAGACATCGGATATGTCCTCCTTTCAACAACAAATTTACAACGCTTCAACGCAACTGAATATCTGCCAATACGTCAAGTTAAGTTTATTCGATATTCAAGTAAGATATTCTCGTACATGGAATTAAAGTTCAACATTCATAAATATAAATACCAGTTAGAAAATTGTCGTCCACGCATTATCGTGTATTGATAAGTATAACAATAAACTTTTCCCACTATACCACTGTATGATGTAGGTTCGAATCTCCAAGAAGGACATCAGTTCGTTCGAAGTTGAAAATACACCTTGCCGACAAGTGTCAATAATTTCAGAATCTGCAGACTTAGCTTCCTACAGATTGCCTTTAGTCACCTAATATCGATTCGAAATGCACCGTCATGCTACCTTGTGTCTATACCACGAACCTGACTGATCGCATTCAGTCAGCAACAGTTCTGAGGACTAGACGAACGACACTATGCGCACCACAGTGACTGACCAATATATAATTTGCTGAGTGCATCTCAGTCGTCATTTCGCAGTAGCCAATGTTATGTCTGTCTATGTCCTCTTCTTTACAGCCCATCGAATTCTGTCACACAATGGTTCATATCGACTGACAATTTGTTGCAGTCACTAGTCAGCTTGGAAGCTACGTCGAGATATATGAGTCATATAACTGTTCGGACGCTCACAAACATGCTGCCTAACTAGATAGTGAGAATTATTGGCGTTAATACAGGGGAGGATCGAGGGATCTTAGCCATTGCAGTGTGTTCTAATGCTTCAGATTTTCGAGTTTCTCAATCAAGAGATAATCTGACGGTATTTTCTACTTAATTTGACCGACACTTGTCAAAACATTTATTAGCTGATTGGTCACCGAGTTCATCATAGAATCTAGGTGGCTTCAGAAAAAGCAACTTAACAACTGTTCTTCCTTAGAAACCAGTTTTTTCAAATGATAAGTTTCAACAACTCGACAAATCACAGGTTATGATTAGGCCTTTCGATTTAAAACACCCAGTTTTCCATCGGAACGCTACGCATCATCGTCCAACAGAGTATAGAATGGCAGTCAACGCTTTATCTCAAGTTCATTGACTTTGAAAAGGCACTTGATACAGTCGAGTGTGAAAGAATTTGGAAACTGCTTCAACACTATGGACTGCAACTTTGCAGATACTTAGAAATCCCATTCAGAAGCCAAAACCCCGCGTAGTTTACTAGCTAGCTAGTTTTATAGCCGGTCCCAAGCGCGGTTAGAGGTCGAGGCTTAGGCGTCGGGCTAGCAAACCCACACCACTAAACCAATCAAACTGCTACAGAAACTTCAACTCACAAGAAAGATATTAAAAATACAAAAAATTCAAAGGACGATCTTATCCTTCCTTGGAATCGGAGAGGCGAAATGACACAGCAGGCTGGTGAAAGCCGTCATTCGGGAAACCAGTCAGCCAGCTGATGTGTCTTCTCTCGATGTAAGCAAGAATATGGATGGGGACGTAGAGTTTCCTTGCGGCGTACGAGGCTGGGAAGGCTGCTCAGGTAGCCAAAGAGATGCGAACATATGGTGTAGAAGTACTGGGTATCTGAGAGAGCAGGTGGAATGGATGTGGACTATCAAAATTGTCAACTGGAGAGTCAGTAATCTATTCTGGTCTGGTCACCCCGAGGAAAACTACGAACACACTGAGGCAGTGAGTGGTTATAATGATGTCACCAGAGGCAGCCAAAGCCCTAATGCAGTGGGAACCATTTTCCCCCTCCAGGATTATAACGGCAAGATTCAACTCAAAAGGAAAGAGAGAAGGAAGGTTACAAATATCCAATGCTACGCACAGTGCTACAAACGATGCGGAACAAGAGAAGAAGGAAGATCCTTATAGACAGCTACAAACATTAGTGGATAACATCCAGAATGGAGACATCAGAATCTTTATGGGCAATATGAATGGGAGCCAAAATGAGAGCAGAAAATAAGGGAACAGAACTCATCATGGGATGAGAGGCTGTGTCTTGGAGAAATGAATGAGAACGGAGAATTATTCTCAGACTTCTGCACTTTCAATTATTTGATGATCGGAGACAGCATGTACAGGCACAAGGATATGCACAAAGCAACATGAACTTCGCCTGTCAGGCACACCAAAAACCAAATAGACTTTCTCCCAATTCTGCTCAAGGTAGTGGAGACGCAGCCTACTGGATAAAAAATCGAGAAGGAGCAAATATGT